TAATAATAGAAGTTCGTGCGAAAAATCCAACTGATTTTTCACACGAACTTCAACTGTGATTTTTCACGAGTCGTCTAAATCGGATGTAAATGTTCTGGATAATCTTTAAAACAACGCATTATTTGATACTAACTATATTCTGACTTCATTAATTGTAATAATCGAGACAACGAAACGAAGGTGACATTACATTGCAGTGTGATTACGAATTGATAATTTAGGAATTCCGAAGCATTTACTTCTTCAAAGAAGTAAACTAAGTCTTTTGATAACATACAAAGTAGTGTGAAGAAGGTAAACGAATTGGACAATTGTCACGAACCAATGCGGAATGAGATAGAAAGAAGAAGCTCCAACAAGTGTTATCTTCTCATTCTGGAATTTTAACATCTGCATTTATTTGATTTTTGGAAACCATTGCTCTCTGCAGTCTTAACGTAAGGAAAGGTTTTAATGTATAAATTGCATTTTTCTTCCTACTTCGATTACAGCTTTCATATGCATCAAGATTTCCGGTTTGACTGTTCTCAATCCGGAAGTTGAAGTTGGCCCTCATAATGGAATGTTTGCAAAGGGTCGTAAAAAATCACAGTTGGGTTTTTCGCACGAACTTCTTTTATCAGTAGCAACAGAATGTTTCGTAGATGTTTGTGTCATGTCTCACAACAGGATGTGAACATTCCGTATTGCTCGATTCTTTCCCTAAAGTTTTCTGAATATTATCACAAGATTTTGGAGCAAGTTTTGCACCTCTGAGATAATGGCATCATTCGACGACCGAGCAAATGTTTTAGACGATGCTTGGAAAGTTATTTCTCAAAACGACACTGTGGCCAGGTTGGCCTTTTATAAGCATCTTAAATTAAAATCAACAAGCCGAAAAATAAATAAATAAAACAAAACAGGACGCGAGCTGAGAAAGAAAATTACTTTCTGCCTTAAGTCCAAAAATTAATTGAGAACAAATATCATTGTGGCTTAAAGTTATTTCCTTTTTTTAACATTCTTTTTGAAGATTTCATAACTTGATATGTTACGTAAATCGTTGCACAGATTATTCCAATAGAAGATTAATTGAAAAATCGGAGCAGATCTCCCCACTTCTAGTTTAACAATTGGGAGACTATATCCACGAATTATACGAGTATCTCATGTTGATTTGCTACATTCTCCTGTACCAATTCCGAGAAAGCTGTTTTCCTTTTTGCCCTTTATATATTTGAAACCCTTCAACAGAATTTTTTTATTTTGTAAATTTCACTAATCTTGTCAATATTTTCGGTGCAGTAGAGTTCAGATACTGATTCCATAAAGTTTAAATTATAAATTGAACGCATGTAACGATTTTGTGCTATCTGAAGTTTATTAACGGCGTATAGAGATGCGGTTCCCCATACAGCGATACCATATCTTATTTTAGATTCAACGCAGGTGTTGTACAGCCGTTTCAAGAGTGATGTACTTAAAAAAACTTGAATTAACAATTGATTAACAATTGTTTCGGGAGTAAAGTGGTATTTCTGAAATTATCGTATATCTTATGGCGCCTGAAATAATCGTACAAATGCGTTAATTATCGTACAGATGGCAACCCTGCCTCGTTTAGAAAAACAGTCGAGATTACGTCACCGTATAATCCGAAGAAATGTTATAACTCTTTCTCACGATTTTAAAAAAGACTCATTTATTTTAATCGAAATTAAAGTTTTACGGAAAAATATCTCGTATCGGGGTTATTACGGAGGTTATTGCGTAATCGCTTATCCTCCGAAGAGCTGGCCGGAGCTTTTTTGCTTGACCATACGAAATTTCTTGGCGAAGGGCCTTTAAAGGGTAACTGGCCCTATTTAGGCGTTAAAAACGTGGAGAAACCTAAAAAACTCGACGTGGCGAGGCGAAAAAATATATTTTCACCCATGCTCTATGGACCCATATTTTCACCCATGCTCTATGAAAAAATATATTTTCACCCATGGACTCTAGCTGACGAGAGTCGGATCCTCGCGGAAGATAGATATTAATTTTTAATATCTTTCGCGATTGATAATATGTTGATTTCGAACAGTTTCCTTCAGGGAATTTTTGGAAGGATTCCTTCGGTAACCACTTAACTTCGACATTGCCCATGCAAAATATCTTAAATAAAATTTGATTAAAACAAAGCAGAATTAAATATACATTTATGAACAATTACATGTAATCCCAAGAAAAAAAAATCATAAATAATACATTTAATTGAATTAGTATTTATCTTTATTTCAGAACATAATAAACTACATTAATTAAACAAGAGTGAGTCTAATATATACGAGGGCTGTTCAAAAAGTATCGGACCTTTGGTCGGCAAAAATACATTTATTGATTTTGAGGTATGAAACCCTAATCCCCTTCAAAGTAGTCTCCTTGGTAGCGTATACACTTTCCCCAGAGTTCCTGCCATTGCTGGAAACACTGCTGGAACGCATCTTTTGGAATGGCCATCAGCCGGTCCGTCGCATTCCGCACGATGTCTTCTCTCGACTAAAATCGGGTTCCTTTTAGCGGCATTTTTAGCTTGGGAAATAGCCAAAAGTCGCACAGAGCCATGTGGGGAGAGTACGGAGCGTGACGAAGCACAGGAGTGTTGTGTTTGGCGACGAAAGCCCGAATCAGATGCGCAGAATGGGCGGATGCGTTATCACGATGGAGCTGGCAAGTTTTGATCGTTTGCGTCGCACAGCATCGGAACGACGACGAAGGATCTCCTGGTAGTACTCCTTTACGATGGTTTGGCCTTGTGGTGCGTACTCACGATAGACCACCCCACGAGAGTCGAAAAAACTGTCAACATGACCTTGATATTGCTGCGGACCTGCCGCGCTTTTTTTGGCCTCGAGGATCGTCCCCGAAAGCCTGCTGAATCTTGCGAAGAGTTTACGCTTGGGTATCGCCAAGGTTTTTGGCAAAATTTGATGTAATATCGCTGCTCACGTTGTTCAGTCATTTTCCAACTTAGTTGAATAAGACGAGAGCTCACTACATGTCCTCACTCATAGGCCGACTGACGCTTCCTGAAGGCGGGAAAAAATTCAGAGCTGTGCATGGCTGTCCCCTCCACAACTCCACCGAAAGAAGCCTCCCGCGCATCATTGGTTTACGCGGAAAAAATAAAAGTCCGATACTTTTTGAACAGGCCTCGTACTGTACTTATAAACTACAGTAATTTAATAAAACAAAGAAATTTTATAAGTTAACTTCCGGGATCCCTAGATTGTGGGTACGCCACATCCACAATCTAGGGATCCCGGATACGGCTCCAAGTTTAAATTTCGATATTCTTACTACGGTAACGAGTTTGTAAAACATTCGGGAATTCCAATTTTCAATGCTGACACAGCGCTGATCTCAACGTTCGTTAAAAATCGTTCCTTTTTTCAACGTTGAAGTTGCGTTGTTGTCAGCGCTGTCTCAATATACTCAGCACTCAACATACGTGTTAACTGCTACTTTCCAATGGATTGTGGGTAATTTGTGCGACATTTGAATGGAATCCATATTGCTGAGAATGGAATTATGGGAACTAAGCACATCGTACTCGAGTTGGAACGTCATTGATGACGTCAAATTGTTGACTTCAACACTCGCCTTGAAAATCGGAATGACCCGATTGGTTTGGGGCCCCCGGGCAATGAATAACGTCCCACTGCGCTCCCCCTACGTCGGTGTCTTCCGTAGCACCTAATGGAAATAGAACACAGACGCCAATGGGAGAGTCAGAGGACGATAATATAATGCTTTAAGCTTTTATTGCATTCGTAAATACCAAATGGCACTTCGGACACGCTTTTTCGGAACGAGACGTCGACGATGACTGACGACATCGGAAACAAATGGAAAATACCGACGTTTACACAATATTAAAAATTTTTTTATGTACTCGAAACGACTGCAAACTCGGAAATGGGTCCGAATTAAATTAAAGACACCGACGGTTTTTAAATATTTTCTTACAAGTCAGTTTTGAAAGCTTATTTCGGATTCCCGTTCGATATTTTCGAATGCAAAAATTATAAAATTTTGCCATCCTTCGTAACTCTGCAATTGACATTTTTGGCTTATTTCCATTATAAGTCGAGATAGTACCTCTTATTACTCCTCTAGGAACGAATACGGGTGTCTCGTGCAAAACTAGCTCCATTCACCATTAAAGTACAGTAAATTATCATGTTGGAAATGAGATACAAAATAAAATTAGACGATTTCTTTCAAAATTTAAATTTTATTCTCAAAAAATTGTGGAACGAATGCTTCGTCATTTAAGGCCACTCGGTTTTAGTCAATCGATGAGCGAAACTGTTTTAAATGGGACACCCATAGTTGCACTATTGTTTATTCAGTTATAACTCGTTAGTGTACTGTACTATTGGCGTCAGAAGTACGATTTACGCAATAATCGATTGGAGAGAGACTGCTGTCATCGTTTTACACCAGGGGTGTCCAACCCGCGGCCCAAGGCAAGTTCAAATGCGGCCCAATAAACGTGTAATCAAAACAGACAGATTATTTTATTTCAACGGCACAAATTCAAGAGAGACGTTTCACAAAGCCGTAAACCTTTATACATATTTTAATTTTGAGTGGAAAGGAAATATTTTCAAATACCTGGAAATGTTTGAATGAGGAAGGTATATTAAATAAAGCTGAAGTTGTGATTCAAAGGCGTATAGACTCAAATTCGGGGAAGGAGAGAAAAGCCAAAAGATAAAAAGTAATGAGAAAGGTTAAATATACCTTCTGTTATGCAAATATTGACCATTAATTTTCCAACTTTCCTCATTTCTTTATCTTGTGTCCTTTCGCTCCTTTCCTCGCTTTGGGTCTATAATTCTTTGAGTCCCAACTCCAGCTTTATTTAGTACTCCTTCCAGCGTTGCAAGACTTAGCTACTTTGCACCAAATTTGGCTACTCTTTTATTAGTTTGGCGTAAAAAATATCATTTGACGCAATGGCTACNACAGTATATCATCATCAAGTATATTCTTCTATAACTGCCATTTTATCACACTTTTAGTAAGTTGCAATTGTAGATTCTGATAATGCATACTTTATCACATGATAAGCATTCAAGATCTACATAATTATAAGAACTCATTATACACTGCTGATGTTTAAAGTTTTCCTTAAGTAGTAAATATTTGCCAAATGCTACCTTACATGGAATACTATCTTAATTTGAAAATCAAACAGGAATGTTAAATATATTAAATAAAAACTTGAAAGACAATATTTTAGGTAACATGTAGCAAACTATATCAATAACATTTTGTATCAGTATTAACAACATTTGATATTATTCTGGAATGTAATATATTGTTAATCTTTTCACAGAACTAAGATCTACCAAATTTGATTTGATTAATAATTAACATTTGATTTACTTAGTCCTCCTTAATAAAACCTTCCAGAGGAAGCTATTTTAAATTGGGTTTTTAGGAAAAAGCTACAACATGTGAATTTATATATTTAAAATTATAAAGATTATCTTTGCAAAGGTTACTTTTATCATCCAACAGTGTAAAAATGAGTTTAACTTGGTACATCGTACCAGATAATTTAAAATCAGCGTGTCCTAAACTAATTACACCTTCAATTACTTTAACTGAATAAAAATTTGCAAAGAGAACACCAAATTAAACTAAATAAATATTTTGTGTTAACTTATTTGTATTTTGAGTCCATTATTCTATAAATCAGTAATTAAATATTATTGATAAAAATTCACTTTTATCATAGTGAACTATAGTAGCCTTTTTCAGTCACGTCTAGATAGTTTTTAATGTGCTGAAGAGTGTTTATTTTCAAAGTTTAAGCAATCAGAATTTTAAATATCAATTCAGTATAAACAATAAAATGATATTCTTTGCATAAAATAGAAAAAGATTTGCTATCAATAAATAAGATGGCTACAAATTAATGATTAATCATAACCTGAAGTATAAAGTTAACAACATGCTAAATAATAAACATAATTAAGCTTCTGTTTTTAATAATTTTAATTAACTAGTTATTTCATTTACTTTTTTACACTTTTAATCTGAGATTTGGCTATGACTGAAATAATGTTAACAAATTTATAAATGATTTCACCTAAGTTAATGGACAAGTTTTTAAACAGCTTTGAAAAAGCAAGTATATTTAAAATTTTCTATAGTTTTATGTAATAGAACGAACTTCAAATTTGAAAAAAAGAGGAGGAAAAAACAAAAACAATACAGATTTTACAATGAAATGACTTTACTAATGAAACTTCCAATATCAGAAAAAGGTAAAAGTACTTTAATAAAATTTATTTTAATGTTGATTTTTGTAAAAGCACTGAAAATTTTAAGTTTAAAATACAACTGTTCATCATAACAGTTTTAACTTTAGTTTTATGAAGTTTATGAAAACATGAAATAAAAATATAAGAAAAATGAAATATAATTTATTTCATTTTTCTTATATTTTTATTTGATGTAATTTGACAAAATTCTCTATTTATAAAAAACAATTTTTTTGAAAAATATTCAATAATTATATAAATATAATAATATAGTTCATAACAGTTTGTTAATGCCTTTTTTCTAGGAATCTGTATATTATTTGAATCAAGGATTTACATCCTGAAAACTCAATTTTAATTAATCCAAATTACTGAAGAATGCATTATTTGTATCAAAAAGTATATTTCTTCAGCCTATTTTTGTTCAATTGAATACAAACGTTAATCAAATTGTTGAGATAAAATTTAAAAAATAAGATTGTCTGCAAAGATATGTTTGATTATTATTGAAGCTATTCTAAACAAATTTTGTACTATTTGAACACAAAATAAATTACATTCTTTATATCAATAAATCTATCATTAAAGTGAATAAATTACTTATGCAACAACAACAACAAATAATCACAAATACTTTGTACTTTAAATGGCTTTTAAGATGTAATTAACATAAAAAGAAATTTATAGATATTGCCTTTAGTACCTATCAATAACATGAAATTATTAAAACAAACAGAATTCTTCTATATTTACAAAAAGATCTGATGCCACCTTTGGATTAGAACACATTAAATTTCTAGAAATCATCACTTTAAGAATCAAAAATATTTGATTAAAAATAAAAATTGTTAATTTTTCATATGCCACTAAAAATCTACCTTGGAAAATTTTTTTAAATCAAGAAATAGATAATTTCATATTTCAAGATCTGTTTATCTAATAAACAAATGTATATATTAAAATTATATTAAAAAGATTATAATAAAACTTGTTATATATTAAATTGACATTTCTAAATTATACTCCTATCAAATTTAATTAACAATTTTTTTTTACTGTATAATTATGCATTGGTTAGTACTATAATTTATCACTTAATTAAAAATAATAAAATTGTTTAGGTAGAAAGAAAACATAGTGACAAAAGATTTTTTAGGATTTTCCTATTGAAGGCAATCAAGAAGTAAAGAACACACTGATTTTTAAATTTTTATCATTTCTGATATCAATTATATTATCTATATCAATACTAATTGCACTATTATATTTTGAAACAGTGCATTTGTGAGTCAGTAGAATCATATTGTGACTAATCATTTAATAAAAATGCTATTTGCACAATATGAAATATTGTAGTACTTGTACAATATCAGATAGTATGTTTACTACTGAAATTTAACAGGAGATGATCCACAAGAGGCAGCAAGAGGTGTTGGACTTGTAAATATTGTTGAGTCCAGAGCACAGAGACTGGGGTTTGAATGACCTCCAGAATTTGTCCTAGAATGTAAGGCTGTAATTGAGGATGGTATTGATTGTGATGTTGGAAGGAGTACAGATGATGGAGTAAGATTCCCATTTCCTTCATTCTTCATTATATCTTCCAACCTCTCAGATGTTGAAAGGTTCTCACTTTCTTTGTGACTTTTTCCATTTAATTTTTTATCAGATATCAAGCAATCTTTTGTATCTTTACAGTTTTTTTCATCACTAGAATAAATTTTCAATGCTACCGCAAGATCTTGGAGCAGTTCAGTTTCCTTTTCATCAATTAATTTAAATTGTTCATTAAAAAGTACGAAATGACAAAATAAGCTATTTAAATGAGCATGAAGATTCAGTAAGACTATTTCTTTAAAATGGGCATGATAAAGATGGGCTATTACATGAAATAACAGCCGATGAATTTTTTTTACAATTGATTCAAAGGAACTAGGGAATTCTTTATCTAAAAATAAAAAAAGAAAAAGATTATATAGATTTTAAAATGTTTTAGTATAATTAATAAATATTCCAGTATTATTAAAATGATTTCAATGGTAATTTCAGTAAAGAAACAATATTCAATATTTTCATAAATGTAATATTTTTTTAATTATAGCAACTCAGTTACAATTTATGACCTAATTATAGTGAACTTGAAAACATACCAACAACAGCAAAGTTAAAATAATTTCTCATTTAATATATACTATATATTTCATTCATTAGTTAGTCTTACAATCAATTACTAGGCAATACCTTCCATTTCTTTATTGGTCCAAAAAAAAGGCATCACTTCAAGGTAATCTGGGCTATATGGTGTAATATATCCACCCATAATTTTGAATCTGGTCAGTGACGATATTGGTGATATGGGGCAAAGTGTTTTCATGCAGAATCTGGGTGGACAACTATTGCTTCCTCTGAAGAATCATTTTCTGATGTTCAAAAGTTGTCATGTATGTTTCTTTACAAATTGTGCTTCCATGTAGTAAGAACAACAAGATGCCCTATCTGTCCAGAATAGTGACATGCAAAATTATCAGGACTGTAATTTTACCATTGATTAGTACATTAATTAATGTGATTTTCATATATGCAGCAACATCAAGGGATATACATATTCCACTTTGCACAATATAGTCACAATTTAATCCAAAAATTAATAAGTACTTTTGCTTTTATTGTGCTGAGGTGTAATGAACAAGATGCCTGTTTGCTTATATCTATGCCACAAGTGACATTACTAGTAATAAGTTTTAGACTAAATATACTAATTGAAATTTAAAGAACAATCAAAATTATTTCTTGTGACATTATTACAATACCAAGCTGCAAGTTTTAATCATTTTGATTTAAATAAATAATATCTGGTCTCAATTTTCATCTATCTTAAATTAATATCATTTTTGACATTAACAAAGGACAGATATGGATGATGGAGAGAATGTATGGGTCTGCAATTTGGAAACTGAAGCTCAATAATTGCTCAAAAACTAACTCAGAAGTATTTTAATTTCTGTATTATATCTAATTGCTTTAAATCTACTACTTAATACTTTTTCTGCCACATGTTTATAGTATATATTGTATTATATATAATTTTTTTATGCATGCATGTGTGGTGACTACATCACTTATTTATGTACTAGTAGCACGGGACACCCCCTAGTGGGCGTTCTTTACAAATTTCCATGAGGCACGTTTTTCCTTTGACTTTTTTGTTCCTATCAATATGCTCTACAGCTCTGTTAAAGTCCCAATGGTAAGATTTACTCTCCGAATGAAGGGGTGGAGACCCCCAACTGTAGTCCCCCTGTGCGAACAATACAGTCAAAGGAACCATACCACTACGCATGACCCTTTGCGAGATATCTCGGGAAGGATCGCGCATAGGGGTATGGTTCATTAGACATTTATTGTTCGCACAGAGGGGGGGTCGCCACCCCTTTGAATAAAGGGGTGGCGACCCCCTTTGAATTGACGCAATTGGGACGGTAAGATTTACCCTTTATTCAAAGGGTAAATCTTACCGTCCCAATTGCATCATACGGATCTACATTTATACCTATTAAACATTCTATAAATACTTTAAAATACAGGTAACCCCCGTATAACACGGCACTTCTATAGCACAAATTCACTCTAACACGGTTCGAGAATTGGTACCATCCCCCGTATAACACGGTACTTTTATAGCACGGATTCACTCTAACACGGTTCGAGAATTGGTACCATCCCCCGTATAACACGGTACTTTTATAGCACGGATTCACTCTGACACGGTTTGAGAAATGGGTAAAACCGTCGTACAACATGAAATGTAATAAATTTTTACATACTTAAGTACTAATAGTTCACGAAAATAATAATTTTCGTGAACTATTAGTATTTCAGTGTGTAAGTTTTCTTTTCTCGTCTCCATACACATGGTCCTTCGCAAAAATTGTTTCAATTTTGCCAGATTTCGACGCTTCTGCTTCTGATGTTGCCAGGTGTTTTTCCCTTATTTTATAAGTGCTTAGCACCATATAAGGAAGTGTATAGAGATCTTTTAACTAGAAGCAAGCAATCTAAAATTACATACACTTTTTGCAAAAGGTAAAGCATGAATCTGAAAATAATGCAGAAAAATGCTCAGAGGATAATGATAACTTGCCAAAAATAAAATGCTTTCGGTTAATAGTGCTTTTAGTGATCACAAAGAAAACATTGTTTAATTTATATTAATATGTATCACTTAAGAAAATTTTAATAAAGATATTTATCTTAATTATGAAAGTATAGTAGCATGTTTTTTAATTTTCGGAACCTAACCCTCCTTTTCGTACTAGTTCTTTGTTTCGCATAACAGGGATTTGCATAACACGGCAATTTTTTGGAATGTAACTACTGTGTTATACAGGGGTTACCTGTAGTTTAATTTGTTTATTTATCTTCACTTGTAAACCTCGATTTTAAATGTAATTTTTTCAACAAATTTCCCGTGAGTCAATGCGCGATGTTCACGGAGTCACGGGATGTTGTAAAAGTGCGGCGCAAGGTTAATCGAGGCATATAATAAGGCAAGGCAAGACATATAATAATTATTTATACCATTCTGTGGTATAAATAATAAATTCATATCAATAATAAATTCCTATTACAAATAAAAATAATTTATTGTTAATTTAAAATCTTTGCTAGGGTGCCTCTAGTGCCCGTTTTTAGCATGCCATTACGCGGACAGACCTGTTCAATGGGTTATATATATAGAAGATATCTAATTATTTGTTAACAGAAATGAAACAGAAAGAGCAATGTTTTAATGTTTTTAAGATCGCAACTTCTAAATCACATAATTAGTTTCAATGTGTGGGGCATAAGTAGGGGGGATTATACAAAGATATTTTTGTTCTTAAAATTTTCTGCAGAATACAAATTATTTTGAGTTATCCATATGAAATTATAGTATATAAAACAATTTTAATTTTGAAATAAATTTTTAATTAAAAGGAACAGCAATATAACTTATGTATTGACATAAGTTATATTGCTGTTCGTTTTAATTATTTTTGTTAAATTTTTGCATGCTGGCAACATGGCTCGACCATTAAAGGGCGGCCAGTATTTAAACGAGACTTAATTTTCTAATTATGAGTGGTTGTTTGTTTTGTGAGCAATAAAATAATTTAAAAATAATTTTTAACGATACGATAGTGACGATTATTATTTTTAAAAAAATTTGTTAGGATTAACATTGATAAAAATTCAATGCAAAGTTGGTTAATAGCGATATACTAATTACATGGGATATATTAATATACTATACTAATAATATAATTTTTTCATTTTTTTCGGTTATCCGACTAACCGAGTCCCCAATTGAGTCGGATAATTGATGCTCTACTGTATATGAAATAAAACATGAAAGGTAAGAGCAATTTATCACATTTAACCACAATGTTTTGTTTCTTTTAATTATATAGGTATGCCATTACATGTTTTATAACTTTTACACTTTTTTTTTTATTGCAGTGTTCAAAGAAATGTATCGGCAGTCTTTAAAAATTAATAATTTTTATTAAATCCTATTAATCTTCAACATTAAAAAATAAATGTATATAATGCTACTCAGGGGCATGCGGTAGATTTTCTTAGTATGATGCAAGTCTTTGAAATGCCACCTCTTAAACGCCACTTATGCCACCCCTTAAATGCTGCTTATGCTGCCCCCCTTACAGTGCCGCCTGATGCGGCCGCATCTCTGCATCATAGCAAGGCACAGTCCTGATGTTACTATAACAAATGGGTATAGCTATATTTTAGTGTAGACTCTGACAAAGAAAATCTTAAGATATCCAATTGTTTGATATTTAAACTATTTAAGGTTACTTATTAAGTAATTTGGCTAGAGGTAGGTGATTAGGATGCCATGTCTGAATTAATTTGGCTAGAGGTAGTGATTAGGATGCCATGTCTGAATTATTAATATAATTACAGAAAGAAAATTAATAAAAACAACTTTTTAACAAAATAATTTCAATCATAATCATCATCAATAAAATTATTTTTTTCTTTAAAGAAAAAAAATTGGGAATAAAGTATTCTCAAATATAGAATATCCATTTTCCACAAATGCTAGATAAATCTCTATACTGAAAAAAATATATTTTAAACCTGGAAAATATTTTCTAATTTATATTAAAATGATCCATTTCAAATACACAATCATTTTAATTACAATTATTAAAAAAAAAATTTTTTTTANGAACAATTTACTTTCAAAGCCATTGTGCTTTAAATAGAAACTTAATTAACTATAAAAAAACAAAATAATTTTTACACAGTTTGATTTTACAGAGTATTATTATATACTACAGTTCAACATAAAATTTACAATTTAATTAATATTTTAACAAATAAATTAACATTTTTTTTTTAAATGATAAAATGAACAACAAACTCTATATTTGAAAATAGGGTCACAAAACAATCAGCATATTGAATAAGTAGAAAGCGAGTGGCCTTGCAATGGCATGGTTAAATCTTTAAACCATGGTTTTATTTGAATTTCTTATATATATGAATCCTTATTCTGCTTTGGTGTCTTTTAGTGACTATACATAGAACATAGCTATTGCTAAACAACTCATTCATCTATAATAATTGATACTTGATTTAAAATTGCTAACTACCTATTCTTTTTATTTTTCAAAGATATACATTCCTGTAAATATTTAATTTTAGCATTAACCATTACATACTTAAAAATTTGATAATTAGGCAAAGAATGTCAGGATATGTTTGAAATGGATTAGCATATACAGTATATATTTATTCATATTAGATTCTATAATAACAGACATTTTTCATATATATTTTATTTTATATATATATAAATCACATGACATATTTGAATTATTTAAAGCTTTTATTCTGTTCTGTTTTATTCAACTTTATTGCTTAGCTATAGTGGCAGAGTAATACACATTCAAGATCCAGCACAATCAACTATTCTTATTATGGGAAATACTATAAAAAGAATGTTTTTATTTCAAGTAAATTTCTTAAATGTTTTGAATGTATTTATTTCAATGAAATTTATATCATATGAAACGTAAATACCAAATTTTGTAGGAAAAATACATTCGTCATTCACTGTTTTCTGTGTGAACGTCATCACATAGTCTATATATTGAGGAGCTGCAACTTTACATTTCTTTCCTCTTTCATCAAACCATAAATATTGCCTAAAAATATAACAATGAAAAAACAGAATTATTAAAAGAATAGACTTAAATTTTTGAAATATAAGTTTTCATTAAGAATAAAATAATGTTTATATAATACCCACCACTTTATTACTTATATGATTATTATTTTAAATGGAAATTTGTACCCATAACAAATATAATGCAAAGTTAACCATTAGTTCATTATTATTTTCAACTCCATTTTTCTACATCAAACAGAAAAGTGATATTTTTATCTGAAATTTCCATTAAAATTGGACTCCTTTACTAAAATGTAGTGTTATTTTGTTAGACATACAATGTAAAGATATTGAAGTTCTGTTATATCCATTATATTTTCCTAATATAATTATATGGAAAGCTTATCTATCTATTAATGTAAATTCACAAAAATTTCATGTCAATTTTGTTTATATATATAAAAAGAGTATGGTATTATTTTTTTACACACATTTTCATGTATGTAAAAAAATAATACCAAGCTCTTAATGAGCTGAACTTGATTTACTTGATTCTTGGAAAATCACTTACAATGTAATCATCTGAGCTAATGCATATGACATTTCTCTGTAAAACTATTTAGCTCTCATTTTTGTTTTCACCTCCTATTGACACAAAATAGTTTCTTTGAAGTATGGAGTTAATTTCTGGGAAGAAGAAATCACAGGAAGCCAGATCTGGCAAATAACAAAGGCAGATCAACCACCGATTTTTTTCTATTGGCTAAAAACTGTTTTCCAGAAAGTTTATGAAATGGCACCATTATTCTGATTCAAGATCCTCAGTTTCTCCAGCATCCTGGATATTTCTTTCTCACTCTTTCATATGGTTTAGTTAAGATTTCAATAATGTTGACTAACAGTCTGGCTACAGAAAAACCAATCTCCCATTATAAAACATTACATATCAAAGAAAGCAATGACACACTAAGCAGCAGCATTTTTTACACTTTTCCTGACTTTCAAAAATCATTTATCCAATCAAAAACACATTATAGATGGTGTATTTTGTGGAAGTATCAATATTTAAAACGTTTCAGCAAACAAATGTTAAAGCGAACAAATTAACAATGTTAATTTGTTCGCTCCTTTAAACTATTAAACTAAAGAAATTTGTGATTGAAACTCCTTTCTTATTCCACACTTTCTTTTGCTGAAATCTTGATTAATAAAGTGAGCGACATTTTCTGGCTGTGCAAAGACACCACTATACTAACACTTATCTGCTGATACTAAGTAAAAATATCAAAACTATGAAAATACAGTTTAAGTTCAAATACACACACCCCTACCCAGTACTGGTTCCCACATTATAAATTCAGTCTTATTTTTCTGTCAAACTTTACTGTAATGAACTAAAAATTTTATCAAAAACATTTGATTACTACTATTAATTAAACAATATTTTTCTACAATTATTGAATTAAATAAAACAAGAAATTATTAGAAACTAAACTTTTAATGCTTGAATTAGTCCTGTCAAAAAAATAAATAAATTTTATTGCATATATACCAATATTAGGAAGAGCAAGATTCAAGTTGTGGAAAAGGCAATAGAATTAACCAATCATAGCTCACTTTGGTAGTAATGTTTATGGGATAAAAGCATACAAATCACATGTAGAACAGTGTATTTGTTTAATGGAAAAAGGTTCAAATACGAATTGATACAGAAACATTTCTCCATAGTGCTTGAAATTATTCCTTTTCATATAATTAAATCCTTATTAAAATAAGAAAGTTTTAAGCATAGTGTGACATAAATTTAGATAATTACAGGGATATTACAATATATTTTCATATAAAATTTATTTTAATTTCTCATAAGAAAACCTTTCTTATCCCACACTTTCTTTTGATGAAATCTTGATTAATAAAAGCAAATTATATAAAGGTAAAATGGTGTAAACAGGAAAGATTTAAACACACCTTTATTCTCCTGTCTCAAACACCAAACATGTGCCAAGAATCAAACTGCTTTCCTGCTTGTATGGCTATAGCAACTTATTGCAAAATGCATTTTTGCTGCACACTTTTTCATTCTATGCTGCATGTGGACGCCATCTGTATTTTTAAGTTTTCAAAGTTGAATGAGGCATGTTTTGAATCTGTTCCATTATGGAAAAAATAATTTTGATTAAAAATGTAAAAGTGCTATGAATAATATTTATAGGTTTCAATCATGATTTGAAAAAAAAAAATCAGTATGTCATAGTGCTATGTATAGAACCACTATCCCTCACTTGAAATAAAATTCCTACACAAGTACAGTACAGCAAGAGGAGCACATTGTTATTACTTTATTTTATGTAATTGTCCAGGTAGGTCTTTTGGAACAATCTAAAACCTTATAGAACTTTCCAAGTTTTGATGAGAGATTCTATTTAAAGACAATTTGAAGCATCATTTTCAACTATTGTCTTTAAATTTGGCATACTTTAGGTGAAAAATTTCCAAGTACAAAACACCTTAAAGTTGCAAATGCTGGCATAAAGAAGCTTGCTGAATATTCTGTGGTACTTCAGAAGAATTGATTGCATTTGGTCTCTCATAAAAACAGTACAGATAGATACAAAATCCAAAAAAATTTGAGCTTTCTAAAATGAAGGTATTGAAATATCACAAAGCACGTGGCAGTCAATCAAGATAACATCTTATGAAATAGTCCAAATTTTTTCTGTCAGTCAACATGAAGATTTTTGACATCTTACGTACTTAAAACAAAATTCACAGAATTAGATCTCAAACTCTTGCCTTCTGATGGAAACTACATTGTGATGGAAAAGTGCATCAGTTTTGTCAAATGCATTATTGATACAGTAAGAACAGACTAAAGTATTCAATCAACTGAACACCCAGGATGAATAGCAAACCAATTTCTTCTACAGACAGTCAGTGATTATCAAAAGAGCTATCCAGACTTTATGAAAAAAATGCTTGTCAATAACAGTAATACTCATACAGTAGATTATAATACATTGTTATGTTCATCTTGTGACACTAGCATGAAAAACACCAACTGTAAATTTTAAATGCTTAGTACTGCATTATTTTGTATTTTGCTTAAAATAAAGAAAATTTAAAATGTTTCAAACTTTGGTAGCATCTCTAAAATTCATTAAAATCACCACATAACTAGAGAAGCTTCTGTAAATTAATGACACCACCACCGAAATCCAGCAGTTGATCATAAATTTAATAGAAAAACAAAGTTCAGTGAATGGTTGTTCACTATCAAAATACATTTGTATTTATTAATTTTAAGTCTGCATATTAGTTTTTTAAATTTTTACTTATGGCATTTCAGAGATATTGTCAATAATTAATATGTAGCCTTTGTGACAGGACTCTCAAATTCTTTACTTGTCAGAATCTGTAATATGTAGAATAATGTGCTTATGCTATCTTAATTTTTAACCATGCTCAGTAACTTCAATAATTGCATTACACCAGGTAGTGCAAATTGGGCAAGAATACAAACAAGTACATAGTATGCATGTATGAAGTTTTTCTTCATAAACCTGATTATTAAAGAGAAATGAACTGCAAGCTTGATGCTGCTATTAAAGCAGCCAAGGTAGACAAATCAAATACTAGATGGAAAAAAAATACTGTAACACATCTCAAAAATGAACTAGAAATCTTCCAGGCTACAGGTGAAACACACACATCTGTTTTTCTCTTAAATGCATTAAAGACGATTCCATCCACATCAATTGAATCGGATAGGGCATTCTCAGTAGCAGGATTTTCATTACTAAAATGAAAACCAGATTGAGTGATCTGAGTATTGGCCATCTTTGCTTTTTAAAATATTATTGTAAATTTTTATAAGATTTTGTATCATGTATTTTGTATTATTTAAAAAACAAAAATTACCTTCTAAGTTAAAAGTTTGATCTAAGCTCATTTTTTTCTTTAAAATTTTCAACTCAATTCAAAGGCATTTTTGTTATAAGCAGTTTCCAACAAACTTTAATAAATTTTTCTATTTGTGAAAATGTCTATGTAATTCAAGAGTAATTTTTTATACATATTTTACACAGCGTTATTATTATTATTTTGAAGATTGCAGGGTGTATTAAGTTACTTAAAAATGAAAAATAATTATATCCCAGGAAGAAGTTCAATTTTTTTTCGGAATTCTGGGACAAGCAAAAGACCAGGAAATGAAAAACCTTAATTTATACACTTATGGCATAAAATTAAGAGAAGTTTCTCTAAATTATATTAATGAATTAATAAACTTAAGCAGATTGGTTTTAGGTGATTTGATTTTTTTTTTATTGACTTAGATCATTCAAATTATTTACTATGCATCTTCAGAATATACTAAAATGAGAATAAATGAAAAACATACTAAATATTAAAATTTTTAAAATTAACATTATAAATGGTTTTTGTTCTCTACAAACTAACCTAAATAGTTAGCAAAGTTGCAGCTGAAGTTTTCAATGAAAACACCACCTTCCTGTAAGCTTAGAAGTTTGACAATGGCATTTGGAATGTCAGTGGAATCATGCTCAACGTTCCAAACACCATTGTCAAACTTCTAGGCTTACAGGATGGCGGCACTCAACGTCTGATGTTCACATTGAAAATGTCAGCCGCAACCTCACTATTAATTATTCAAACAAACTGCTGGATTCTAAATAGGTTACATTAACCTAACAGATTCAAATGTTCTTTTTTTAAAAGAATTCTATTTAAACATTTAAAGTATTTAAAGTTATTGTTTTTAATTTTTATTTAAATCAAATTTACTGTACAAGATATTAATAACAGCATACATAAATTTTTTTGGGATATCTTATACAGTAAAACCTCCAAATCTCAAATTTGAAGGAACCAAAAATGGCTAGTTAGTTATGGAGAGTTCCACACAAAGAGGTATATGAAAAATAGAAAAATTTTTATAAAAAAATTGCTTTTTGTCCTTGGTATAATTAATTATCAATGGTGTGATAAGTCCTTATTATCTACCTCACATTAGTAGATTTTTAATTATTTTAATTATACCAAGGGGAAAAAAGCAATTTCTTTATATTAATTTAATTTATAGAATAATTTGTCTAGATCCCAGTTGATATTTGAGCACAAACCCTCACTATTAAATGATGAAATCTATAGACTTAACACTGACATCTGGTTTAAAGAGGTGATGGAATGAAGGTTGGCCATTAAGATGTTAGTCACCACTTGTTCTCCAGATGTTGCCTGTACCATACCTCCCTCAACTGCTCTGATTCTTGTAGTAATGCCACCTTCAAACTCCATCTTACTACTGTTATGGTACGTAGATATAATTTATTTTGTAAAACAATTACCTTATTATTCCACTAATTTTAATACTGTTCATAATAGTAACCCTTATGTCAAGCTACTATGTAACATTGTGAAGTCACCTTAAGCCTGTCTTCTCTACACCCATTTATTGTTCAATGATCATACCTTTATAATGATTCCTTTATCTTGTATAATTTTAAGTATTACAGCCTTTTTACATGTATACCAACTGAAGAGGGACTATTCCGATAGTCCAAAATGCATTTTGATTATTTCATGTTAATTGCTAATGTAATTGATTTTAATGAACACCTTCTCGTTTTTATTAAATGTATTGTACTCCATTGGTATCTGGGTGTTTGTGCTTATCATCACTGGTATGATAAGTCCTTATTATCTACCTCACATTAGATTTTTAAGAAAAGTTTTTGTTCAGTCACAAACAACACAATGGTAGAAAAATATATCATAGAACTGCATTCCTTAAAGTCCATTATATTTATTTTAATCATTATTATAACAATATATTATTATTAATCATTATACAGCTGCATATAAGATAAATAGCATATATCAAACAAAAGAATATGACAATCCATTAATAGAATGTATAGGCATTTGATAATTTTGTTATATTTTCCAAAATCATTTTTCTGAAATTTATGAAACTTGTCTGGTTATCTTCTAGTATTTTCATTCCAGTTTATGAAAAAATTTTAAATTTTAATTTAAATTTTAAATAAATATCACAAATTTAGGTATATCACAAAATACTTCTCTGACATACTGAATTTATTCAAAAGTCAAATTTTGCATAATAACATTATATAAATTATCTACGGGACAATTTAAAATGATCACAAATTGCCTTCCATATTAATGAAGACCTGAGTTCATAAAGTTCCAAAGACAAAATTCAAGATGGCTACCACAAACAAAGAACTATTCCAAATAGAAATATGAATAGATGAATGGGAAAGTTGGTATTCTCCAATAGAAATTAAAAATAGAAAGTTAGTATTCTCCAATATATGCTTTAATTACTATAGCATCCCTTCCTATCCTGTTATGATTAAAAAATCCCTGCTAATACTTTTGCCAGAAGAACATAATTTAAGTCATGCAATGCTTCACGAGAGCTAGATTTAGTAAATTTTCCACTAAATTAGCAACTCTGATGTCATTGGCTTACTTATCCAGATGTATTAAAGCTACTTTACCAAACAAGGTGCCAAAAAGATTTGAGGAACTTAATAAACTTAGGTTGGTTGGCACTGGCAAAGTTTGACTAGTTTAATGCAAGGAGGTTGACACACATGAAATGTTAACTTAAGGAGCAGAAAAATACATTATATTACATATGGTGTTTTCCAGCACTGATAATCCAGTTTGACCTGAGGGATTCGAGAATGAGAATTCAATGTTAGAGATTTTAGTATATATAAATATTCTTAGAAAGTTGCTTGAACATAGAATATTCTAAATGTAATTTCTGCATAAATTTTATTAATTCTACTAAAATTCAAAATAATTGTCATTTACACCAAACAGGTGCAATAAATTGTTTATGTAAGTGTAAAAAAGCTATTGATTAATGATATTTCATAACTTTTAAAAGTTGAATGAAGTAGTATTTTACTTTTCATTTACTTTTTGTATTTCTTTTCTCAAATGCTGAAATTGCATACAAATGCAAATTAATTATAATATTAATGATCATTCAATGAATTAATTGTAAAAATTGTGACCATTTTTATCTAAAGCACTGACATTCCATGAGAAAGTAATTTGTTAAAATATACAAATCATAGATTTTATCATCTTATCTGAATAAAGGCATGTATATTTCATCTGAAAATAATATTACGTTAAAAATACTACCAGATTTATTCTATTATTTTTCAAACTTTTTAAAGCATCTAGTCAACTTCTTTTTAAAAAAAAATTCACACTTAAATACAAAAAAATTCTTTTAAGACTAGTTTAAAAAAAAAATTCAAACAAAACAGATGTTTGAGAACAACTTTCTTGAAGTATCAGCAGCTGATAAAATATTCTTATTTATAGTTAATAATTTACAATTGAGCCATTGATTTTGAAAGTGGGACAACTCCATTTTATGTTATTGCTAGATATTTAATGGTTTGCATTTGAATGAGTTTAAAAATATTCATAAGCAATAATACTTATATTTTTTTGGTTTTATTTTGTGTAAATTTAATATGCAATAATGGTTATCTGCTTTAGGTGAAAAAAATCATGGTTTTGGTATGCGCCAATGACTTGCCTCACTTTCAAAAGCAATGATTTGTTGAAAATGTTGCTTTTCTTTGAATGAAATATAGTTATAATAACAAAAAATTGAATATTTTATTTATTTTATTTCAACATTTCATACTTTTTTGAAAAGCTACAATGAAACAAAAAATAAATTTAATTTTATAGTAAAAAGTGAAGAAAATAATAAATAATATTTAGTAATAAGTTGCATGCATATAATTATATTTCTTAGTGCAGATTTTTAAAGTATTCAAGATAAATGGGTGGTACATAGGATAATAAATTCATCACATTTTCATATTTTTCGTAGACTGGACTTGCCCCACTTTCAAAATCAGCTCACTGTAAATATTGTTGACGATAAAAATTACTAGTAACAAATTTTACACAGATATTAAAATATATTTATTGTGAATTGATTAAAAAAACAAATTTTATGTTAATTTATAATAAGAATTAGTTTTAACTATTTTTTTCATAAAATGAACTTGCCCCACTTTCGAAATCAATGGCTCAATTATTAAACTATAAATAAGAAAACATTTATAGTTTAATAATTGTGAGTTTAACTATTAGTTTAATGATTGTAAATTATTAAACTATAAATATCACTAAAATTTAATTTTATATACTAAAATAACATCCTTCTACTAACAAAGAATTGAAAAATTATATCTAATAGGTAAATTATACAGACTGGTCAAATTATTTCAAATTTGTTTAATATGTAATTAAAATTGTTACTTTCTAATTAGTATCATTTTTGTCCATATTTTTTAGGATTAATTTCAATGATAATTCTTTAATAAAGTAAATCACTGAAACACAAAAAAAATATATATACATGTTAATTTTTTCTTAATTATTAATGTAGAAATTATTATTTCTATCAAACTTTCAGATTTTATTTCCTAATAATTGATTTCAAAAATAAAAATCTTTTTTAAAATTTTTTAAGTGAATTTACCTTTTATAGATAGAAATATTTAATAAAACTGGAAACCAATTTGCATTTTATAAGAAGGAACAGCTTAATTTGGTTTAAAATTTTTACTGCTAAGAAAATGAATCAGGTTTTTTATACATCTGAAGTAAATGAGTTTTACTTTTACACCTTTTATAAACAAAAACATTCACACATGTAAAATTTAAAAAAATAATTTCCAAAAACTTTACAGTAGATCTTTGAGGACATTCATTTCTGAATAAATTACCAATGAACATGTGAAATTAATGACAGATTTACAGGAAAAATTGTTTTATAATATAATTCATATTGTTCTTAAATATAAAAAGAAATGAACAAATACCTTCCTCCTGGTCCAGTCATATCAGGGCATCCAGACATTGTACAAAACTCTGAGATTGTCCCATAAATAAGATTAATATGATCAAAAAATGCCAGTGCTAAAGCAAAAGAAAATTGTATAAAAACAATCAGTATATTTATGACAAATATATATAAACATATATAAGCATTGAAAAAGATCAAAAGAATTGTAATAAAATTATTATAATAATAAAACTAATTACAGGTAACCCCCGTATAACACGGTAGTTACGTTCCAAAAAATTGCTGTGTTATGCGAATACGTGTTATACAAAACTAAGAACTAATACGAAAAGGAGGGTTAGGTTCCAAAAATTAAAAAACATGCTAGTATATTTTCATAATTAAGATAAATATCTTCATTAAAATTTTTTTAAGTGATACATATTAATATAAATTAAACAATGTTTTCTTCGTCATCACTAAAAACACTATTAATTAACCGAGAGCGTTTTCTTTTTGGCAAGTTATCCTTATCCTCTGAGCATTTTTCTGCATTATCTTCAGATCCATGCTTTACCTTTTGCAAAATGTATGTAATTTTAGATTGCTTGCTTCTAGTTAAAAGGTCTTTATAAATTTCCTTATATGGTGCTAAGCACTTATGAAGAATAAAGCAAGTATGGAATAAGGGAAAAACATTCGGCAACATCAGAAGCAGAAGCGTCGCGATCTGGCAACATTGAAACAAGTTTCGAGAAGGACCACGTGTATCGACAGAAGGCGAGAAGAGAAAATTTACATACTTAAGTACTAATAGTTCACGAAAATAATAATTTTCGTAAACTATTATTCTTAAGTATGTAAAAATTTATTACATTTCCTGTTGTACGAGGGTTTTACCCAATTCTTGAACCATGTCAGAGTAAATCTGTGCTATAAAAGTACCGTGTTATACGGGGATGGTACCAATTCTCGAACCATGTTAGAGTGAATCCGTGCTATAGAAGTGCCGTGTTATACGGGGGTTACCTGTACTCACTAATCCCCAGCTTTCAAAGTGAGATAGTATAGTTGCAATTAAACAAAACAATGAAAGTAGGAGCATAAGCTTTCAGTACAGCTATTTACTGTATATTTCCACAGATAAGACAATAGTTGAATCATAAAAGAAAACCTCCAAAATCCGGGGTTGTCTTATAGGACAAATACAAAAAAATTAGATTGAAATTTATATAAATTAAAACCATTGTAAAAAATGGACAAACTGTAATTATTTACTAGTAGAGAGTAGGGTATGTTCACAAAATAGAATAGATGATACTACGTTTTTGTGAATAGTCAAGGTCATTACCGGAATGCTGAATCAGTGCCAAAGTTTGCAACAATGCAAGGCAGTGCTGCCAGATGCAAGAAAATAAAATTTTTCCATTTGAAAAATTATGAATAGGACATAATTCCGTATAAGTTATATAGTATTATCATCCAGATGATGATCGCTGATCTAAACTGAATTGATCGTTAATAGTTTGGGGGGGAAAGATATATGCTAAAACTATAAAACTGACGAAAATTTATACCTTGTCTTATCTGCAGAAATATATGGTATATCAATAAAGTTTATAGGAGAAAAAGCAAAAAATGACCTAGAAGCAATGTCTGATCCACGTGGGCAAATGTTAAATAGCACCTTTTTCCCATGTCCACGTTGGATGATTTATCAACACTTGGTTTTATGGTTAGAAGCATGTCCACTTCTGTAGTAGGAAAATGCTTATGCTATATTCTCAACTTAATATTGCTCTTACATTAGGTTAGGTTAACATGGTCCATGTTTGTGGGTTGAAGAGAATATCATATTCAAAAATTCAGCAACAGACCCATTTGATCGCCAGTGGTAAAGAGCAGTGACCCAAGACTGGCTACTGCATCATAAATACGTTCATTGATACAATGGATACATATTAACTAGCTAAAGTGCTTCAAGTGACAATCCAGCCACTAACTAGCAACACCAAAAAATCATGCCAATGGATGAAATGGACTCAAGATGAATTCATCATCCATACCTATTACATACAAAAATGGAAACAGACATGACAACATATAAGCATGCTATATGACAAATTCACACAAGGATAACCACATTTCATTGTTACAGAGAAGAGGGTTGTTGATCAGAAAAATATTATTTAACACTAGATAATAATAAATAATATTATAACACTAGATTACATAGGAAAAAACAAACACTGACAATACCTCACAACATGTTCTATGTATGTTTTCAAGAGAGAGAACATATACCAATAAAAAAAATCTACAAGTTGTATAACTTTCCCTGGTGCTATGAAAATTTATTTAAAAAATATCTATTATAATTAAAAATATAAAAGAGTCAAGATTGTGTTGGGCACCATTTGTTACAATATTTTGTTATAAAATCTTTTCATATTATTATTTCTTATAAAATGGCAAAAAGCTTAATTTTGAGGGTAGGGATGGATTTTATAAAAAATTATAAATGCTAATAATGAGTAAAATTGTCATTAAGCCCAACTCTACTGGAGATATACATGACTCCTTTATCTCCCCACCCCTTGACCTTTAATCACCAAAATCAATAGCATTAATCCTCTAATACACAAACTTCCCTGCAAAATTTCAGAAATTTTTGATAAAAAGCACAGGAGTTATTAAGCTTCAAAGATGAACAAAATTGTCCCCTCAACACACTAACATCCATACATACAGAAAAGCCTATAAATGTTTTTGCATTTCAATGTTTTCAGGTCCAGAGACAAAAAATAGAAATCTGGAAGGGTCGTTTCTTTGACCGTTACACTGTCCCTCTGTTATACATAACTGCTGGGAAAGTAAAAACTGTTTAAGCTAATAATGTGTGGCTGTCTGCCATTTTGTTGTATAATTTTACTGTATATAGAATAAGAACTCCTTTCTTCTTTCATATAATTCTTCTTCCTTCTGCTTTTAACTCTTTCTTGTCACGTGACAGGAACTGTAATAATACAGGGACAGGATGGGGGTCCTGCCCGAGGGCACCGTTAGACAGAGGTGAGGAGAAAGGACACTTTTGGGTTCACCATGAGAGAGGTCACGTGAGGGTGACCAAAAGACCGTGTATAAGGCAGAAGACAAAAGAGAGAAAGGGCCAAGATAAGAACAGAGACAAAGAAATAATTGGGATAGCCGTTCAGGAGAGTTCCAAGGGACTACCTTGGCACATGTTCAATAACAACTGCTTTGTCTCCCTTTGGATGCAAACGGATCATATGTTCACCATGCATGAAATGAGAACTGTCGATATTCACCCAGTTCAGGACCCACAGATCCAGCTACTGGTAGATTTCCTAACTAACCTTCCTTCTTTCTTGTAGTTATAGTAATAGGTTTAAGTTTAATTATAGGTTTCTTAATTTTAATCGGGATTGCATGTACATGTTAAATTTCTCGTGGGAAGATCGAACGAGAGGGGAGACATTGTAACGATGGCGTGCTGTGATATTTGATGAAAGGGAAGCTGTGTTTCTTTAAGAAGCCGATTTCCAGGGGCAATCAGTCAGGGATGGCGAACTTTTTGTGTTTGCATGCCATATTGTAAGCATACTTAGCTTTAAAAATGTTTATACGTGCCAAAGTTTCAGACTTCGAATAACAATATTTAAAAAAATTAAATGAATATGCTTTAATTAGAATAAATGTAAAAAAGCTGATTGAAAAAAAGGATGACCAGGTGATAAACCGAAAAGATGATTGAAAAAGACATAAATCGTATGATACATTACATGCCAGATGATTTCTCCTTACGTGCCACTTTGGGCATGCATGCCATAGGTTTGCCACCCCTGGTCTAGGGCAGTGTTTTTCAACCTTCTTGAATATGCGACCCCTTTACAAGTTAAAAAATTCTGGCGACCCCCAGGGCCATATTAAAACTATATCAGTGATTTAAAAACTACGTATTTAATTTTCTTTCTGTTGAGACCTAAATATTAATTGAAAAACCAATTGTACTGTAAAAACAAACAGGCACAGCCTTCTTGCTGGAATTGTAGTTTTTTATTGTAGTGTAGGACCTACAAACACTTGTCTTTCTTTTATCCACGACCCCCATGTAAGGCTTTGTGACCCCCTGGGGGTTGTGACCCACAGGTTGAAAAACACTGGTCTAGGGTCGTATTTGTTTGTTTGATAAGCCTTCTCTAAATGTATTTTTACTTAATAGATTATCTAATGCACTTAATTAATAAATAAGCAAGTTCAATATAATTACCTCTGTTAAATTAGATTCAATAGATTCCTATGCCCTCTAAATGCCAATTCTTGCTTCATAGATATAATATATTCTAAATTAGTAGATATAATATATCTAAATTAGTAGATGTTATCTATTAGTCGTAACTTTGTTATAATTTTCAATATTTATTTTTTATTGTTTGCTAATTTAAATTCTATTCTGATTTCCAAATTGCTTCAATTTTACGAAAGAATCAATGCAACATTTATGATTTTCGTGTCTTTTGCAAACTTTACTCAAATTATTTAAATCCTCAAAGCCACTCTTATTCCACACTAATTTTATTTGAAATTAGTAGGCAAGGCCAACAAAACAATTTTTGCATTTTTATGCATCCACAAAGCCATTTTATGTCTAAATAAATTTTATCGCACAAATTTTTTTGTTGACGTATTTATGTTTAATTTAGGCATTGGTCATTCTCTTTTAATAATGTTTTGTTTTTCATTATATAAACTTGAGCAAAAACTTTTTTGAAATAAATTTTCAATATCACAATTACATTCTAAAATCGCTAGCCATATTATAAGGCTAAAATTAAAAATAAAATTATAAAAACTTACTTGTTAAAATAAAATGTGTGATGGATATACAATTATGCATAACTGGTACAAAATATTCAATTGTATGAATATACTTTTAAAGAAAATTATTAAATATAGTTTTGTGAAGAAATGTAAAAATAACAAAATATTCTTTACTTTTTAAATATTAAAACAATCCACTTAGTTAAAATTGCTCCCTATCAGTGGCTCATGGATGGAATCAGACGCTCTTGGTAGGTGTGCAGTGCATGCATGCAGGCCAAATCCCGAGGGT